AACTGGTGCCTTGTGCTCCAATTTAACCACGCCCCTGGCTAGGATGTTTCAATGTAGCTGTAGTACTGCCATCTGCCCAGTGGTAGGGGGTGGGGGTTTGACCAGATGTGTCTTGTCCATGTGGGGCAGGACTAGTTCAACTTGGCCGATTTTTTTTCCCTTCTTTATTCATTAACAGGATGAGGGTGTCGCTGATCAGGCAGCATTTATTGCCCATCCCAAGTTGCCCAGAGGGCAGTTCGGAGTCAACCACATTGCTGTGGGCCTGGAGTCACAAGTAGGCCAGACCAGGTAGGGATGGCAGTTTCCTTCCCTAAAGGGCATCAGTGAACCAGATGGGTTTTTCCAATAATCAACAATGAATTCATGGTCATCATTAGATTCTTAATTCCAGTTATTTTATTGAATTCAAATTCCACCCATCTGCCGTGGCTGGATTCGAACCTAGGTCCCTAGAATTTTATCTAGATCTCTGGATTAACAGTCCAGCGATAATACCATTAGGCCATTGCCGCTCCTTGTTACTCAATTAGTTGGCTCTTGATTATCAACAGAACTTTGGAAGTGATATCAAGTGGCACTTCCTCTGGAGTGGCCTGCTCGCTGATGCTCTGCTTGCGTTCTGTCCAGACTGCTTAATTCCTGAGCATGGTCCAAACGTGAACGGAAGATCTGGGCTCCAGGGTTGAGCTGGGAATAACTGCCCTTTTTATGAAGGTAACATTGGCCGAGTGTGGCACCATTGAGCAGAGGAGCCATCAGGAATTGATGTAAGATGTGTGACCTAACTACACTTTAATATCATTTGTTTCAGAATTTGAATTTGAGCTAGTGGTACTAGCACGGGGATTTTGGTCTGTGTCTATGAAGGGGTTTAATGATTAACTTGTAGGTATTCCTGTTACCATTGTGATAGCTTGAAAAAAAAAATGACTTGACAGCGTTTTTGGATGCTAATGGGACTTTGGTTTAATTGAGAGTGAACAAAATAAACATGCATTATGCTTTCAATGTAGAAGGTTCTGGAAATTGTGTCTTTTTTTGGCTTAGGAAAAACACCCACTGCTTGAAAAAATAAGATTTTTTAGTTTTAGTTTGGCAGTTTTGCAGAAGTCATGGCTAAAGCTGAAGGTATGAAATATAACTTCTTCTGATAAAAGATGGTGTAGAATTGTTAAGAAATTGGTTACTTCAGTTTTAAAGTTCTGGAACAGAAGCGCTTGATTAAAATCCTGAAGCATTTTTAAAATTCATTTACTGGATGAAGGCATCACTGGCTAGGCCAGTCTTTATTGTCCACTCCTAATTGCCCAGAGGTTCTGGAGTCACACGTATGTCAGATCAGGTAAGGATGACAATTTTCTTCCCTAAAGGATGGGTTTTCTGACAATGAACAATGGATTCCTGGTCATCATTAGATTCTTAATTCCAAATTTTTATTGAATTTAAATTCTGCCATCTGCCATGATGGAATTCAAACCCCAGTCCTCAAGACATTAACTGGGTCCCAGATTAACAGTCCAGCAATAATAAGACTAGGCTATCACTTCCCTATTATTTGAAGCTCAGAAAATCTAAACTTGGTTCTAAGAAGATTCCCAGACGAGGTTATCATAATCTCTGGTGTGGGCATTGAATCCACAGTTAAGCTAAGTCCTATAGGCATGATGAAGAAAGGAATTGTCTTTGGTGTGTGTACTATAAAGGAGTGTTTTTGGCGTTAATGAGATTGCATTTAACAGGTGTTTCAAAATCTTCAAACTTGTATTATATGAAAATAGCTTGACTTATTCTATTACTTACTTTATTTCTTTTATGTAATAAACCTCAGCTTTATTATATACTTTGTTTCAGTGAAAGACCATGTCATTAGAACTAAAAGTAAAATAAAATACAATCAATCAATCATGCCAAATGTCAGTCTGGAATCAGACCTGTAACAGCATCATCTAGGATCAGAACATCCTCTGCTGGTTGGCGTCATGCCTGGCCCACGGAGGATAATTCCAGTTGTTGGGGAGTAGTGGTCTCAGTTTCATGGCATCATTGCAGGAGTTCCTCAGGGTAGTTTTTTTCTCTAATCAACCTGTTGAGACATGTTATGACACATCTGCAGCAGATGGGAATTGTACCCAAGCCTTCTAGTTCCTCACGGTAATGTCCTCAGCAGCTTCAAGATTTGCCATTCCTCCATCGTGGGGTCTGTTGTGGGGATGTTTGCTGGTGGTCACGCAAATGTTCAGTACCATCTGCCTCAAATGCTTGGATGGTCAATGCTCATGAGCACAGGGCCTGTACAACATCCAGATTTGGGTTGATAGATGGCAAGTGACATTCATGCCTCAAGTGCCAGGCAATAATCCCCTCTAGCAAGACAGAATCTAACCATCTCACCCTAATATTCAAAGCAATTACTATCTTTGAATGGCTCGATGTCAACAGCACAGGGACTACCATTGACTAGCAACTAAACTTGACAATCCTTATAAATACTGCTACCAGGTCAGTCAAACTCTGTGACAAACAACTCACCTTCTGTCTCCCTGATTCTGTTTTCCTGATTCTGGCAGGACATATCCAAAACCAGGGGCATAAAGTTATGGGAGTGCAGAAATATAGAATACACTGCCTGAGAGGGTGGTGGAAGCAGGTACTCCTACAACATTTAAGAAGCATCTGGATGAGCACTTAAAATGCCAGGGCATGGTAGGCTATGGAGCAAGGCCAGGTAACTGGGATTAGTATAATTTGGCGTTTGTTGGTTGATATTGACATGGTGGGCTGAAGGGCCTGTTTCTGTGGTGTATGACTATCACTTCTTCTCCAGCTGGGCATACAAACCTACTAACTGTATGTTCTCAAAATGACCAGTGTTTTTGGATTCAAACGGCAATAAGAACACCTTGTTTCAGTCCTGCCCCAACCTTTCAATCCTTGGATTCTGTACTTGGCTCCCAGTGCTGTTAAAGTGCCTCTCGACTGACTCTGGCAGCCATGCTGCAAGCAACTGTCTGCACTAGTCTTCTGCTGGATCAGTATAGTTTCCCCTTCTTAACCAGCTCTAATGACTGGCCAAGATCTTCAATTTTTTCTTCCTTTTCATTTTCTTTGAAGAATAGACTTCTTCCACTTAACAACATCACTGGTGTTTGATTTTCTCTATGTCATTCATCCATTAGAGCCTCATTACTGACATTTATTTCTGAAAGGACTACCTTCATGATTTACAGTTCCTTACTGGGTGTGCTCTGCAACTCCACCTGTTTTTTGGAAGTATGCATTTTCTTTAACATTGATTTTGAGTTCAAGATAATGTTTTTGTAGCTGTTCCTGCTGAGGCTCATCAATTTATAGGAAATTTATTCCAGCTCTTTGATAGCATGAGTCTTTGGTTTCTCTAGTATATCTCCTTGCAGAGTTCAGATGAGGGGGTGGATCAATCACCAACTCAGCAACCCCATTTGCTAGATCCCCATCTGAAAAATCATAAAACTAGCCCTTTTCTCTGCATCTGCTGACAAAGTAGTCCAAGGATTCTGTAGGCTTCTTGTAAATGACATGAATTCTAGATGATGAATACAGAAGTTTAACTGACTCTGAATTGGTCTTGTAATGTGGTCCATTTCTTGTGAGATATTTTAGCTCTACGGCAATTAATTCTGATGTGTTAAATCTGTGTGGTTCTCCATTCCAAACAGTTAACATTTCTCACTTTTCTGCAATGGACATACCTGAATCTAGAAACCAAAAGTCTGAACGCTGTTTAAACATTTTAAGTTCTATTAGAACGTTTGAAGTGTCCCAATATAAACGGAAGAAAATTCTGGGGACATTTTGACAACATGCCTTTGATCGTTTCTTGCTTGCAGTTGACCCAGCATACACCTTGATCATTTGACTTTCTCAAGTGAGTTAAACTGGTTTCATGCTAGGGAACTGTCCACTTAACAGCAAACTATATTGTGAATACTCTTCAACGCTGTAAGGGACAAAGACAATGAGGGTTGTTTCATTTTTTTGTCTAATTTAAGACTCAGCCATGAGTTTCACCTGTAGATTAGCTTGGAACAGATTAACTGCCAGAGTTACAACCTTATATATACACAGCACCTGGATTCCTGTAATGTAAACTTTTTAAAGGCATTCCGCACACATAACAGTGTACTTTAAAATGTATCAGCAGGCTCTAAATCTCAAGAAATGTATCTTGTATCATACGAACTCACCTCAAGCTCTGAAAACTTCTAAATACCTCCTGTAAATTTAATGTTCCACTGTAATTAGAACATTCCTTGCATTACGTGGGAAATTTATTGAGTTTCAGCTCCCAAAGTAAAACAAACAGAATTGCAAAAAAAAAACTCAACTATAAATTGTGAAGTCTGATAAAAGAAAATTTAATCTTTCTTCAATGGACATCTTTGCCTTTCACCCTTTCACTGACTCACTTTTCTTCCTTCCAAACCCTCTTCCTTCTCTGCCTTTATTCTTACTTAAAATGTGTCACATCCTTAACTTTTTAGAACTCTGATGAAAGGACCTGAAAGGTCAACTCTTTCTCCTTCCACAGAAGCTGCCTGATCTGCTGTGTATTTAATTAGTTTTCTGTTTTTACTTCAGATCTCCAGCATCTGAATTACTTTATTTTTGGAATAACTATTTTAACTCATCTCAAGCAGTGACCCTGTTATTGGTTTTTATTTGTGGTATTATTTTAGTTGTACACTGCTGTATTTGAATAGACTTCAGATTTTTAAAATTGTTTGCCAGTATTTGAGTTCTGTAAATTGGCTTTTTTTTGTACATTATTTCCCAGTACACACAGAAATATCAACAAAAGCTACATCTTTTTTCCAAAATTAGATTACTTTAGTTTCCAACATATGGCTTTTCTCATTAACATTCAAATAGCATTATGTTCATGCCAATGGAGTAACAAACTTGTAAAAACAATTTAACTTGTACTTTTTCATTAGTGTAAGCAGCAAATGGTCACATACCGAAACTTGATAGACATCCATGAACTGCAGACTGAAGTACTCTACTTCCACAAGGTCCAAATGGTAAACAATCTGGTCTAATAGGTCTTGACCTTTTGCATTTTTCTATAAAAGATGAAAAGGATTTATATGAAAATGAACTGAGGCAATGAGAAATGTACAGCAACAAATATATTCCTACTCATTTACTATAAATTGGTAAATTCCTGGTTCTTCTGAAAATGGAGCTACTTGATCTTCTATGTCTACTTGAACAGGCAGATGAGGATCTTTGTTTGTCCTACCCTAAAAGAGCACCTCAAACAATGCAGCAATGCTTCAGATTTGGTTGTCTGGGAATCAACAAGGAAATGGAGGAAAATAAAATCTGAGGATGGAAAAGGCATTCGTTTTACGAGAACAAACAGAATGCTGCCAAAAAATCAAGGCCACGATGTTAAAAAATTGTACGCTTCTACTGTAATAAGACTAACCATACCAAATCCAATTGGTGGAAATTACACGGGAGACCATTTTTAAAAAAAATTTCACATAAGCTGTGGGAGTCACTGTCTAGGCTTAGCACATCTTGCTCATCCCCAATTGTCCTTGATTTGAGTGGCTTGCTAGGGCCATTTCAAGGGTAGTTAAGAGTCAATCACATTGCTGTTGGTTCTACAGTCACATGAATTCAAATTCTACCATCTGCTATTGAGGGATTCAAATTCATGCCTGCAGAGCATTATCCTGGGTTTCTGCATTACTAGTCCAAGGATACCACCACTATGTCATTGCCTCCCCCTAACCCAGTGTTGGGTATGCCTGAGGAATCCTCAGATGAAGCTGAGGAGAAATATGTGCCTTAAAAATATGGCAGTGGTTCAGAGAAAGTACATTACCTCAGAACCTATAAGGAAAGGGAAGAAGGCTCAGGATAGTCAAGGGAATTCTTCGTTGATTAGCATGAAAGAGGGTCAGATTACTAGAGGTTCTGGATAGTGTATCTCAAAGCTAAAGTGTTCCCTTATTACTCCAACAAGATAAGCAAGCCATTTACGGAAATACTTAAAGATTTTGTTCAAAGAGGAGGCAAACCAATAAAACTATTGAGCCACACTGGAGCAAGTTAGTCACTGATCCTGGCTGATCGTACCATTTGTCTTCCAGAGAAGCCAATGAAAGAATAAAATGTTAATTGATGGAACACGGTGGTTACAAACTGATTCCATTGTCTAACTTTGGACTGAAGAGTGACTTGGTAAATGAAGAAGTTGTAACTGGGGTTTCATACTGACACCCTGATTTTCCTGATTTTATAGTGGGGAATAACGTGGCATATTCAAAGATATTAGCCTCACTAAGGTTGTTGGAATAGCTGGTGAAAGTAAACAAAAACTACAAAATGAACACCCTGGATTGATTTCTGACTGTATTGTAACTTGATCTCAGGCCCACAGAGTTTGACAACTAATAATGGAATGTTATTATTTAAAAAAGACAAAGTGACCCCAAATATCAGCCAATAAGGAGCAGACAATAGTCCATTAGGTGGTAATTCCATCTGGGTATCATAACAAAACTTTGAGAGAGGCTCATGAAATTCCAATGGTCAATTACACAGATATTAGGAAAATACAGGCTAACTGCTAAATTGTTAAAACATATTTAGTTGCCAGAATTACGTAAAGATGTGGTTAAACTTTGGTATGCATGTCAGATAATGGCAAATTCCAACTGCCAATTAAATTTGCTGCCTCAAGTCTAACCAGATTTCAAACAACAGTTTAGCAGGATCTTACTGGATTATGTAGGACCTCTACCTAAAACTAGAAGTGCTAATTAGTATCTTCTAACAATCAAGGATGTTTTAAGTTGTCCTGAAGTACCACCTTTGGAGAAAATTAGGGTAAAAAAAAAAGCAGAAAAGTTAGTTCAATTCTTTTTTAAGACATGCTATGGATTTTCCAATGAGAAACAATCAGATCAACATTCAAATTTAATGTCACAAACATTCAAAGAAAGAATGAATAGTTTGGGAATAAAACAATTTATCTTACACTCCGCAGTTGTAAGGAGCCTTAGAAAAATGGTTTCATATTTTAAAGGCCATGATTTGAGCTTATTGTCAGGAATTTTCTAATCACTGGGATTAAGGAATTTCCCTATTACTTTTTGTCATTTGGGATGCTCCTTATGAATCCATAGCACTCAATTCTTTCAAACTAATATGTGGACATGAGATGAGCGGGCCCCTTAAATTCATTAAACAAAGTTACAAATCAAAACTTCTGGCCAGTATTCCAAATGTCCAAGAAAAAAAATAACCAAAATGTGCAAGTTGGTCAACTGGCATTTGAAAATACCTTAAAGAAAGTTAAAGCTGATAAAAATGTCAAAGCTTGAAATTATGTTATTGGAGACATCATTATTACCTGTCTCTGATGAACTCATCAAAATCAGGTTCACTAGGCCTTATCAAAAAGAAATGCAATGATGTGAATTATGTAGCAACTAGTGTAGACTAGCAGGAAAAACAATAGCAAGTGCATCATACTAACATGTTAAAGCAATATTGACAGGGAGGATAATCAGACAGAAATATGTTTGCAGTGATGAAACAAGTTGGAAGTGGAATAAAAATCTAAAGGATTCTGGAATGAATCAAAAATTTAAAATTCTAGGGTCAGCCATCCAGCAAATAGATTGGATAATATTCCAATATTCCAATATTAAAAATTGGAATATAATACTACCTCACCAGAGAATCATGAAAGTGACTTATGAAAGCTATCACGGATTCATAAATCAATTTCTCTTACTGGCTTTTATGTTGCTCAGGAAGCAACACTAACTAAATAAATCAACAGTGCGTAAATGCAGAGCTCAGCTAGAAAGAATCTGATTACATAATGCTGACTGAATAAGGAGCTCTAAAGTGAAGACAGTCACTTCAGTGAGATTTGAATGTCTATTAGGTTGTTGATGAGAATAAAAGAGTTGAATCCATATTTATGATATTTGTAATAAGACTTTTTTGATTTTTTGCATAATGTAACATATGTTTATTACACAAAAAAGACAAGTTATGTTCTTTTGTTAAAAAGTACATCTACAGCCTCTTGTGAATGCATTCACTGAGTGATCACCACAATAAGCAAATAGCAAAAGTAAAACTTATAGTTCATCAAGTCAGATTTCACTCTGGGACCTGATTTCTTCAGTATTACCGTCAGTTAAGATAATAACACCATGGCTAAATGTAGATGTGCAAATTATGACCTGTCCTAAAGAAAACTATGTATGTAGATGGGACTTCTGACTTATAGCCACATTTGCCATTTTCACAACAAATTTCCTTTCCGTTGTGGTGAAAATCCAGACTGAAATATGCGGTTTGTACCCAATGAATGCTTCAGTGTATTAAAATTATTGCAATTTCACTTTCAGACAGATAAAGAACACCATTGATGTAAATTTAACTTAACATGCATGCAATTTTTTTAAAAGATGGGGATAGTTAGAAGGCAGGCAACAATTATTAAATTCTTACAAAAGTGATTTGAACAACTTTGGATAGCTTGCCTAAGAATGAAACAGAATAGAACAAAGTAAGTGAGGGAAAAGGAAACAAAGGACAGAAATGACTTACAGGAAACAGAGAGCAATCCAGCATCTGGGCCTGACTGATGACTGGAACGAATGAGGGTGGTCCTGACTGATATTGCTCCTTTATAGTACAGGAGGCTAAGGAAATTCGGCACGTCCATTTATAGATGCACCATAGAAAGCATCTTATCTGGATGCATCACAGCATGGTTTGGCAATTGCTCTTCCCAAGACTGCATTAAACTACAGAGAATCGTGAAAACAGCCCTGTCCATTAGGCAAACCAACCTTCCATCCAATGCTCCATCTATATTTCCTGTTGCCTCGGGAAAGCAACCAACATAATCAAAGACCCCTCCTACCCTGTTATACGGTCTTCCACCCTCTTCTGGGTACAAGTAGATTCAAGAACAGCTTCTTGTTGAATGGACCCCTCAAATGTTAATGCTGATCTCTCTCTGCACCTTCTCTGCGGCTGTAACACTGAATTCTGCAATTGATCTGCTACCCTGATGCACTTCGTATGGAACAATCTGCCTGTACAGCAGAAAAAAACACTTTTCATTGTATCTCAATACATGTGACAACAATAAATCAATCAGTACCATGGTCTGAAAAGACAGCTCTTTAAGGTGGAGAAAATTCGAGTGTGAACCAAGCCATTCCTCAACGGAGTAAAGATAGAATATTGAAACCTAGAGCTCCTTGACAAAAACAAAAATGAAACTGTGAAAAGGTTTATGACTAAGATCAGAGGCAGAACACAGGCAGGGAAGAAATCAAGAAAAAATTTTCAATCCTCCTCAGATATGAAATTGGCTTCAAAAGAATGGAGGTTTGTAAACATTACACTCTGAAAAAGCAGCAATGAAGAAACCTGGCAACTAGACACTAATCAATCTGTCAATGATAAGAAAACTACTTGAGGTCATTGGCAAGGACGGAATCAATTTACACTTGGGAAAGCATGGGTTTATAGAAGGCAAGACATGTTAAAGATAAATGTAATCTGCCTAGCCTGACTGAATTATTTCATGGAATTCAGCAAGGGTAGAAGTAGTTAAGGCAAATCATATTTGGGTTTACAAAAGGCATTTCAGAAAGTGCTATTCAGAAAATAAAGGCTTGAAAGATTAAAAGAATAAAGTAACCTGGACACATGATTAGCAAAGGGGCAGGTTGGAATAAGCAGAGTTGAAATTATATTCAATTATATCAAACTATCAGGAATGAGGAACTTCAGCTGCGTGGAGAAGCTTGTATCGCATCCTTAGAACAGAGTAGGTTTTGTGAGGTACAAAAAAAAATTCCCAGGGGTTTTGAGAGCTTCTAGCAAATAGGTAGGTAACAAAGAGAAAAAAAAGATTGTAAGGAAAAGCTGGAGAGAAAATAAGGAGAATTTTGGGTCCACAAAGAGGATTGCTAAAATCCGGAAAAAAGAAATATCTGAACAGACGGTGGAAGTAGATTCCGTGGAAACTTTTAAAAGATGATCATAATCGGAGGGCAGTGAAGGAAAT